GATGCGAATCTCTGCTCCGTCTATTTGTTCTGGACAGCAGTCTAGTCTGTTTGTGATGACAACTCTACGTACTCTGTAAATATAACGCAGATCCACCCTCCACCATGGGTTAGTTTGAGCAGTGGTTGAGGAACACGATGACGATGGTTGTATGAAACCTGGATTGAAATCAATAGCTTGTTGAGCAAGCCAGAGGCCATAGGTTGATGACTGTGTGATGGTTCTTCCTGTTGCCAAATTACCTGTAACATGTCATAGTGTCGAGAAACGGTTTTAGTCAGCTTATTTTATACACTTGGAATGTTTTTGAGGAGGTTTTCTCAGGAATGCATTTCTATCAGATCTGTCTGAACTGGTCCAGTCTTGACAAAGTCATTTTTAAGGAATATGTTTTCACTTGGTGGTCTGTAGCGCCTCCGATCAAATATTCCCCACCAGGGACATCATGCACTTATTATTTTTGAGGGGGCCACGAGTGAAGGGGGGAGGCCTTGTCATGTGACACACAACAACATAGTGATGTATAACTGATGTAGGCTTGTTGGTTTTATTTATTTATTTAGTTTAGTTTATTTTATTTAACATATTTCCAAACGAGTAAACTATATTATGAAATATCTCGATTCTCAAATATTTGTAAGTTAATGCATTTTGCACATTTATAGCTTATGTTAGTTGATCTATAATGGGCAATGTAGCCTAATGTTAGTGTAATCTATTAACTACGCATAAAACCCATCTTTTTACTTTAAGGTGCACTAAGCAATATTTGAAAAACGCTTTTGACCACAGTGTCGGACTGAGTCCCAAAACACACTTGTAGTCAATCATCAGTAAGGGGTGTCTAGTAATTAAAAGGAGAAGAGAGCAGCCAATTTGAGTGCACAGGATGGATATTAGCAGGTTGACTATAGATAGAGAAAGACGGCAGATAAAAAAGGAAAATATCAGAGGAAGCTATCCCAGCGGTGGATAGAACTCAAGGAGAAGGGAAGGCCTGGAATCGTTCGCCGAGGTTGCGTTCTTGATAGGTGAGTAACGTTGATTTTCTTCGTTTCACACAACTTATCCATGAAGGCTTTTGTTTAAATGCTTGTGTGTCATCTTCACTTGTTTCCGCAATCGTCGTTGCCATGGTTGTGTACGTACATGTGGGGCGGAGATTTCAAAATTAGGGGCGAGGTCCTGTTGGGGTATGGGCATGTTTGTTTTGGTACTTTCAAATATCAACATTGTTTGGCAAAAATCACTTGTGCACCTTTAAGTACCAGATATGGGTGTCATGTCATAAAATATTTTTAATATGACTGACTTTGCATTTAAAATTAATTTAATAAAAAAACTTTGTAGGTTACTAAAAATAACAATTTCATTTTACAGAAAGAGAGCAAAGAACATTTTGTAAGGCATTTGCGAACATCACACAAAGGAACGATGGAATCTCCGCATTCCATCAGACAACTAACCTCTCTTCTCAACTATGAGAGTCGTAAAAGCTGAATCATGGTCAGCCCAGGCGTCAACTTTCTCAAATGAGTTCCTGTCTCGCTCTGCTTATCTTTACAAAAACCACGGAGAGAATGATTTACCAAACCACCTCCGATGTCGACAAGCACTAGGACAGCAAGAACTGACCCCCTCCCATCTGGAGTCATTTAAGCTACAGAAGGTCAGTAGGTTTCGTGACTGACTTCAGCATAAATAAACCATCTAATGGACCACAGCACAAAGAACCTGGTATCTGGAAAGATTCCCGCGACAGACACTCTTGGACCCCCTGACCGTTTAACGCATAAATTAATAATCCGATATACAGAAAGCGACAGATTAATAGCCCATGTCCAGCGAGAAGAATGGCAGACTCCCAACTCGTGACATGGGCATGACCTCTTTCCCCCCTGCATTCCAAAAAAAAAAAAAAGGGACGCAGCATTTTACTACCTCCCAGAAAAGCATGCGTTTCTCCTGTCACAGACAAAGAAACGTACACGGACAATCATTGAAAGTATCGGAGCATAGATTCACAAATAATATGTTGTATGTCTTATATATATATATATATGCTTGATGTGTTCATTTAATCGGTGCAACTTTAATCAGTGTTTATTACCCTTTTAGGAAATGAGGTTATTAATATGTGTGTAAGATATGTGAAGTTTAGTATTGAACCTAAACTTGTGATAATTGTGGAATATTGAAATAAGTGAAAAGCTGTTATTTCAAACAGTACGACACTATATAGAAGTTATTAACAAAACCTGCAAATATTAATTGGTCCTCATGTTAAATTGAAGCATTATGGTAATGCATGCAAGCTCCGCCATGCAACAAGTCGATTGGAAGGTCGCGTCGTGGAACGGACTTATGCAGCGAATCAAAACCCAATGCAGAACAGATTTGCTCGCTTTGAAGAAGCATTAAAGCATCCACATACCAACTGGCCATTTCACCCTTTTTTCATCTCTGAATGTCTTCACGAAGCTAAGCTAAGTTTCTTATTTCATTCTCATTGCCTAATGCTATGTTGGCAAATAAGCTATAGTCAAATATTGCTCATTGTTTAAGGCTAGTTGTTCAGTAACATGTTTGCTAGGCATGCTGTCATATTTTGACACGCTGGTAACATTACCCAATTAAACTTACCACAGCGAGCCTTGTTTTAAATCTGTTGTTTAAGGCATTCAAGAGAAGACCTTATTTAGAATTACAATTATTTATTACAATTATGTATAGCCCTGCTTGGCTCTTTAAGTTAATGGGTTTTCATCATGTGTCTGAAAATGTTTCACAGCAGCACAAACTCACTAACAAAAGATGTAGTAGTATTCACAAAATCTCACCTTCTCTTCCTGCTTTCGTCTCAACTGAGAAAAACCCTTGAAATGAGAAACACAGAATGGTGCTCAGTATTTAGCAACTTAAATGGATTGTTCTTATTAGCATAAGCCTATATTTTGTTGAATTTATTCTTTAAAACTATTTTCTATTTAGGTCAAATTGAGAGTAATCTCTAAAATCAAAACAGTGTGTGTTTTATATAATTTAGCTTCTCAGGTAAAAGTATTTTGTTTACGGGTGTTTAGATAACGTTAATCAAAAACAGCACATTCAATTATAATTTAGGTTCTTCTGTGTTTCTTAAGTGTTTCTCTGTCTGAAATATGAAGCTGAAAACAGACTGTAGGTCACTAAAATATGAGACAGATTGTATGTATTACTTACCCAGTAAAAACAACAGACTCGTGTAGAAAACTCTCATGTTGATTTCAGGCGATTCGTGATTATTTCTGCTTTTGTTTGAGGAGGTTTGAATGAATGTTGTTCCTGGGAGAAATATATTCGTTCAAGTTACGTCAGTGTCCCATGATCCTAGTTCTCCTCCCACTTTTCTTTCTGTCTGGAGCTGGAAAGAAAAAATTTGTTATTGTTTACACACACACACACACACACACTCACACTCACACTCTCTCACACACACACACACACATTTGTTTCTGTGAACTGTGGGGAATTTTCATAGACTTATCTTACTTTTATACTGACCAAACAATATTTTCTATCCCCTAACCCTAAACCTACCCCTTACAGAAAACCTGCTTGCATTGTTACACTTTCAGATAAACATCATTTACTATTTTTTATATATATTTTTTTCCCAATGCCAAACATTTTTTATTTTACTATGCTTGTGGGGACATTTAGTCCCCACAATGTAGCATGAACAAGTACACACACACACACAACTAAATAAATAATTATATGTATTTTCTTAAACATCTTTTAGCAACAAAACAAGTGAACACATTTTCACTGAAAATAATCATTTGTAACTTCAGTTTAGTGGTTAATGATATCAAAATGTCAATGCTATTGAAATGGTACATTATATCTTCGGCAGACACTGTTATCTAAAGCAAGACAAAGAATGAATTTCATGTTGACATGCTTACATTGAATATTAGGTGTTAACGATAGCAATAGCAAAATTCACCAAACTGGATTGGTTTGTCCGCAATGCTGATCTCTTCTGAAAGAAAACTGAGGGAAAATCTTCCTGTACTCCATTAAGGTTTGTATTCACATTTGTTTTCAAATTCAGTGGCATCAAATTTTACTTAAACTCTGTTGTATGACTTTCTTTCAGTGAAACACCAAGAATCCGTTTTTGAAGTGAATGGGAACTGAAGCTGTCGAGCTCCAAAAAAAAAGGATAAATTAATAAAATAAAACACAATAAATCATAAGGGTACCACAGAAGTGGTTTATATGACAGTTTTCCCAAGCTTTATCTGGCATACTGCATGTTGTTTCCATCTTGTGTGTTGCACTTGCCATTTTTAAATTTGTCTTTTCTTTCCCATCTTACAGACTTCTCAATATCAACACACATTTGCATTGTGTTGTTTTATGCATGGAGGCTGCCTGTCAAAACTCCCGGAAAGCACACAAACACCATCTGGTCCGACATGATGAGACGATCTGTCTCCAGAAGACACAAAGCTATCTTTAAAATTACCTTTAAAATGGTCTCAGCATCTCAGCAACAGTGTTTCCATGTCCTAGTATTTACTCAAGTTGTCTGACAAGTTTATCAATTTGAAACTAGATTTGTCAATTGGAGTGCACCATTCAAAATCAAATCAGATAGTGGTAATATGTGTGCATACAAATTCCATTATGAAAAAAATCACTTAAGGTTTGACCAAAATTGCATCACTGTGTCATTCTAGCCATGGATAAATCATTGAATACACATCACATGATTTGACCATATCTTCGAGCATGACAATTATATTTATATGACAAATAAATGACTTAAAAACACCCCTGTATGTTAAAAACTAAAGCACAAAATTCAAAACAGTTAGTGTTTGACTAACTTAGTATCTTTCCAGTCATGTATCTCTGCTCTGAAGACATCTAAAATTCAATAATAATACAGCTTGTCTCATGACAACAATATAAAATGACTGATAACTTTTTTGTAGCTCAGGATGCCTCTATCTACAAAGAATCTCAGTAGCCAGTTCTCGATGTTCCACCTCGGTAGTCTGCTCTTGAAGTGTCTCAGTAGCCTGTTCTGTTCTTCCAGAATAACCATCTCGAGTTTGAAGATTGCGAAGTTCCGTCTCTCTCTGAAGTTCTCTGAAGTTGAATTTGCCCATGCTGTTGACACAAACGGTTCCCTCTATGATAAGGCTCAAACCTCTCAATGAATTTCTCGAAGGTCGCCGATAGACATTGATCTACGAAAAACAAAAACAAGTGAATGGAAAACAGAGACTGCTCTTTTTAAAAAACGAGATTATTTAAATTTATTTGAAATTATTTTGACACCATTATAACCTCGATAGATAAAGACCATAGAGACCATCTGGCTCGCAACTAAACTAGTCTGGTGTAAGCTAATCATCGTAGCCCCCCACCCGCCATATCTTCACCATGAGGCTGGACCCCAAGTCACTAAAAGACAAGTGTTACTTTTTTTCGGCTTCAGCAACTCCCGGCGGCAGCGTAACATCTTGTCAATTTATGTTTGTGCAATTTGTGACATTTTTACTCGTTCTTGTAATTTCAGGTTTACAGTGCAGAATAGCTCCGGTTAGACTTAAAATAAAACAGAATACAATATTCTTCCTCTGTTTTTGGAGCACGTCATGCCACACATTTCACCGAACTACACTTCAAATAATGCATCTCACTCTGGACTACAACTTCCGTACATAGGTGTCTTTAAGCAGAAACTCCTATCCCCCTCTCCCGCAACACTACCCCCACACTGGATGGTGATTAAACTTAACACCACTCCAGCACGATGACATGACTGATACAAAATACATAAACACACACATTAACCAAGATATTACCATATATTCACAGTGTTAACAGAAGGCAGAAATACATTCAACACAATGTCTAACCATATTTTTTTTCCATGTTTGTTTCTCTCCTTTTTTTATCAACAGTCCATAGGCAGCTCCATTGTCAAAGCATATAGTCCATTCAAGCAACTCCGCTCAATCATGAATACGACCCTTTTAGCTATTCAATAGTTATTAAAATTACATACACAATAAATGATTAAGACCTGGTAAGTCACATGTGGTTTACATACATGATATGGAGTTATGCATAGAAATGATTAGTTGCTCGAGTCCTTTTAGTGTCATTTAGATGCATGGAAAGGCAGTTTCTATAGCCATTCTGTGAATGTATGAAGACCAGAGATTAAGAGGTCTGTAAGGAATCTCTGAAAGTCTGTTCTTTGTCGTGAGGTGGGGGATGTCAATTCTAAAGCGCTTGTGACTGTAATTACTATCACGTGATGGTCATGCAGTCATCTCTTTGACCATTTAATCTTGATTACTTGCCCTAAAACTGACAATCTCCTTCCTGAGTTGTTATGATCAGTGTGTTCCTTTTGTGTTAATGTTGAAAGCTGTTCTGTGAAAGAGTTGGTTAGGCTTGCTTCAGGCTGGCTAGGGCTAGGGTCTGATTTATTTCCTGTTGTCTTGGGCCTCTGTGGGCTCCTCATGTTTCAACCATGTTTTGGCCAAATCTTAGATTGTCTGATATCCTACAGTGTGTACGCGTTTTTGTGACAAATGAGGACATAAATGTGTATAATGACAAAGGTATGACAGGTATTACAAGGAGAAGGTGACTTTTCAGGACATTACCCCATGTCCCCACTTTTCAAAACGCTTATAAATCACACAGAATGGAGTGTATTGAAAATCTGAAATAGCAGAAAGTCTCCTGTGAGGGGTAGGTTTAGGGGTAGGGTTGGTGTAGGGCAATAGAATAAACCTTCATTTTGTCTGTCTTTTTTACTTTAATAGTAAAGTTTATACTTTCCTCAACCTTTTCCTTGTTTTGCATCATTGCCTCCTGAATCTGAAGTTTTTCAGCCTTTTTCATCTCTTTCTCTTGAACTCGCAGCTGTAAGTTGCAGATGGATGCTTCAAAACGAATGCGCTCAATCAGGACATCTGAAGTCAACTCTAAACTTCTTCTGCTCATTTCATTCAGAGATTGAAGGAAATACTTCATGCCGTCTACACTGTCTTCCCAGGCAACTTTTTGAGCACGAATGTGACGTTCTTTAGTGTGACGTTCTTCAGCCTGCCGGTTGTTGAATAAGAAATAAACAGGTTCGCCATTTTTGTCTCGTCTGCAGGGGATTCTAGCTTTTTTAATGGCGCTGATGACGTTTTTGGGTGGCAGACCATCAGAGTGTGTGATAAAAAACACAATGTTGTTCACAATGTCTTTTCCAAACAAAGACAGAATTGAACTGATAATGTAATGCTGTCTGTCTGAGAGACGATTCTTAGACGCTTGAGTCATGAAGCACACGGCGTCGACTTCACGAACTCCATCACTGCTCTGAAACAGAGTGGCTAAATTCTCAGCAACTTCCAGATCTTTGTCCAGTCCTCTAGTGTCTCCGTAGCCTGGAGTATCAATGATGGTGAGAGACATGTGACTATTTACAGGAAAGACCTCATACATGGTGATTTCAGAGGTTTGTGATTCTGCTTGATCTCTGGTTTCTTCTTCTGTGATTTCATACCATATTTCTTTCTCAAACGTCACATTCAGTAAGTAGTTGACCATTGTGTTGATGATGGTGGTCTTACCAACGCCAGTCTCTCCCACCAGCAGAATGATTTTGTTTGGTTTGCTGGCATCTATTTTCCTATAAGTCCATTTTCTGACTTTTCCATTTTCATCAAGAACTTTCCTCTCTGTGTGTAGACGGAATCGTTTTGGAGATCCTCTTTGAAGCAGAGATGGTCTGCGTGGTGGCAGCTTCGGCTTTCTGTAAAATGTTTTGTTACATATTTGTTTGTGAACAAGAAATTAAGTCTAAATGCCCAATAACCATTTTGTGATTATTTAAAATGTAAACATTTCATTCATAGTTTTTGAGCGAGAACATAATATTCTAATTACTAGAAACAATGTTTTAAACCAAGAAGTCCATCCAAATATAGTCAGTATGTACAAGTTCAACATATACCTCCAGCCAGGCTAGCCTTAATACAACATTCTCGTTTTTGTTTAAAAATACAATTACTCAAATAATCCATAAGAACCTTCTCTTACCGTATATTGGGACCTTCATTCATGCTGCTGCTGCGCTGACAGCGGTTTCTGGGTAAAGCCATTGTTGCTGGGGTTAAAATGTTAGTCTATCCTAAAATGAAAATTATGATTTAATTTAATTTCCCTTGTCGTTCCAAACCTGTATTTGCTCTGTGGAACACAAAATAAAGTATTTTAAAGAACTTTGGAAAATAACCAAAGAGCACTTTGCCCCATTGACAATCATTGTATGGACAAAAAAAAAAAAAAAAAATTCTCAAAATGTAGTCTTTTTCGCCTAATTCTGAGGTTATTTTTCTACTAATAAATCTAGTTGCCCTTCTTAGTCTATTTTGTGTAGTAGTCCTCATATTGCCTAATTCTTTGATTAAAGATTAGCAAAAATCAATCTTTGTTACAAGTGAATCCAGGAAGTAAATTAGTCACATAATAGAAACATTTACACTTTTGCTGATTTTGTCTGTTGAGTTGAATCTCCTTAAATATAAAGAATATATAGTTTTGCAGCCTGTATGGTGATATATATATTTTTTTGGAAATTCACAATTTACAATTTTCAAAAAAAGCAATCCATATAGATATCAATTCAACTTCTACTCAACTAGCTTGCATAAGCCAAAGAAATAAATAAATAAATATATTTCACATAAAGAAAAGTATATTTAGCTTGTTTTAAAAATGTGTTCATAAAGTATTTTTTCAAACTTTTTTTCTGAGAGAGCATGCATTTATAATAGCATAGGTTACTTACACCATCTGAGAGCATATTCTTGTGGAGTTCTCACAGCAAAGCTCTTGAGTCATTTGTGAAATGTCACAACAATAATAGAAACGCCTTTCCTGCTCTGTTTTTCCAGTAATACCAGTTCAGTCTGTCACGTGATTAAAAGGAATATGCAGGCTGGTTTCATTTATCTAATTTTGAGAAATCCGTGAAACCACACAAAGTTAGTAGCTACTGAATTGCCTAATTCAACAATTAGGCTTTTCTTCATTATAACTCAATGAACATTCATCACCATACCTGAAGAGGAAAACGTTTAAATAATATTCCCTCTGCACTTTGGAAACTGTGGACTTCCACACGCATGCGTGCACACATCAACGTAGCTGTTTCTCAATACCAAGTACGCAAAGTTGGGACTTACTCCAGTAATTCTGCAAATGGAAGAGCAGCGTATACTTGATAACGTCAGTCAGCTCGCCTTTCCGGTTATCCTCTCTGTATGTATATTTACAATGAGACGAAATATGATAGGCTATCAAACACCACTGCCTCTTTTCGTTTTCATTTAAACATATTACTAGCTGCAAAAATGTAGTTCAGGGAACGTACATGGGTCATTCCAAATAGGAATTCCCCACATCTTTTCTAAATTTTCTAAATAGGCTACCCCACATCATTATATCAAACCTCCAAAAATCATATTTTCCCATCTCAGGCATTAAATACCTTTTTTTTTTTTCAGATTTAGACACCTTTTTTTTTCAACCCCATTACGGACAAAAATGGAATTGTTTTAAAAAGGATTTTACACAGAACTTGTTATTAAACAAACATCTCCCCATTGCTCATGCGTCCCTCATAGCAATTTAATGATAACACATGTAACATGTATCATAATTTTTTAATTTCTTTACGACTGAAGTTATAAATACACAAATTGTGTGTCTATGGTCTCTTTATTTTTGTAAAACAATATATATATATTTTCATTTAGAAGTTTAACTAAAACCACAATTGTATTGTTTTAGTCCTTAACATGTCAGATGGTAATCAGCAAGAAATGCTTTCAATCTTAATTGTCTTCCCTATTTTTTATTTGTTTTAAAATATTAATGTGACAAGGTGTGACGGGGTTGAAGACTGTAACACATCTGAAGGGATGCATTGCCTTCAATTTGATTGATTTATTTATTTTTTGTTTGTTTTGTTTCTCTTTCATATTGTTCCCTTCTCTCTGGGTCAACATATCTGCATGGTCAACATTGTCTTTCTCCTGCAAATGTGGGTGCAATTTCTGATGTATGAAACTTTCCAGTAATACTTTCCAGCAAAGTTTAAGTGGACATATTACATCAAAAATTATATTTATAACAAAAATATTAGTTGTCATGATTTTAATTTAATTAAAATTATTAATAAATACAAAGTAAAATAAATAAAAAGTAGATACTCAACCCTGTCGCAAGTTTACATCCCCGCAACAATGTATATTGCATTAGGAATATATATTTGTGACAGGATTGAGTGTGACAGGGTTCTGTTTTTTTTACTCAAAATGGCCCCTGCTCCTCGTGTAGTGTAGGAGAGAAGACCATATATGGCAGCAATAAAATGAGTACATTGTATGTTCTTATGGATTAAAATTAAATATTGAAAAATAATTATTTTACATTTTAATTTTATGTGACGGACTTGACATTACCCTCCCTGACTATAATACATCTAAAAAATATGATTAAAAAGTATGATACTACCGACCATTTTCTGCAGCCCTATTAAAGAGACCTGAATTATTTCTGGTAAATTATGTCACATATGGGTGAAGTCTAAATTATTATGGGCGTACAATAGTTAGTGTGACAGGGTTGAGATCAGACTGAGGGACATAACTATAAAGTCTGTTTTTTTTAAATAAAAGATCTTACTTTTTTTCATAAAAATATTTTTCACAAGAAAGGAACACAAATAAATGCTTACATAATTGCTAAATATCATAGAGTAGGCACTATGCACAAACTCATTCAAGTGCCTCAGGCACATAACAGAATGCTTGGTTTAAGATGGATATAAGATATTATTTTATGTAAAAAATATTAAAATGCAATAATTATAAAGTATAAAGTATTGAGAAATGACTCTATCAATTCATTTAGGTGAAACACCACTTTAAAAACTGAATAAATCAAATTAAATGTAATGAAATGAAATGTGATAGCAAACAGCATTGCCTCTTTTTATTTTAATTTAAACATATTAATAGCCACAAAAAATGCAAGGCGTAGCCTACACACATTACAATAACACAACATTTATCAAACATCACTGCCTCTTTTCGTTTTCTTTACTGTAGGCTATACTTAACAAAACAAAATATAAAATAGGCTGCAACACTCTTTTCGTTTTCATTTAAAAAAATAAAAAATAAAACAATATGTGGTTTAGGCAATATTTCCACATAATACTCTGATTATCTTTACTGTATGTATAATACAATTAAATATGACAAAGCAAAACTCTGCCTTTTTTGTTTTGTTTTGTTAAATGTCATTTTTAATTAACAATATAAGACATTATGCAAGTATAAAGTATAAGATACTTATGTAATTGGAAATAAAGACAAATAAAACAATGACAATTACTATGATTAAGATAAGTAAATATACAACATTATGAAACTTTGTGCTCTGCCAAAACGATATGACCTGGAACAAATAATAGATTCATGAGACCAAAGATTACCTGTTAGATGTACCCAAAATGAATTGTATCCCATGTTTAACCACTACAGAGGCATCAGAGCCTGAGAGACAGTGGCAAATGTCAGAAGGACTAGCCGAGGTAAGGCTGCTCTCGGCGGGATACATGAGCACGGAGTGCCCGCTGATCGCCTGGAGCTCACATCTCCGAAATCAGCGAAGCAAACTTTCAGATAGGTGCCATCTTTATAAATAAACCACAGATTTGAGTTTTAAACGACTACATTCTCGCCTGAAATACTCTTAAAACTACATTTCGTGACACAATAACAGTAATATTTTTTTAATTATGCAGGTTTTCTCCTCTGTCATTAATACTCGCTTGTTGGTGCAAAATGCATTCTGGGATATCTGGCTGCCTCAAGTTCACACAAGTCACCTTTTGATGCATCCTCGGTAAAAGGGGCAGAGCAAGGACACATCTGGGGATTTGAACTGTACTTGGCTAGATATGAACTTTGAATTGGAGCAGTAATTGGGCAACGACTGATGATGTTTCACAAGTCCACAAGAACACAAGTACAGACAAGAACGCGTGTTGAGAACGACCCATCTCTCCCTCAGGCCTCGTATGACGGGGAAGGGAGTGGCCTTAAAATTAAAGATGAATGATGCAACATAACACCATCAGGGGTAAGTCATACTTTAGTAAAACAGTTATATTGCTGAAATACAAAATACACTGAACAGTTTTGACAGTATATGGATTGTTTGTTTAAAGGTGTTGTGCAGTCAGGTGTGATCAGTGCACATACAGTACAGCACACTGAGAGAGTAAACAGGCCAATTCAAGGACACCTTTTTCACTTTTTTTTATTTTATTGCCATAAAAAGGTATCACAGTATACACCAATATAAACATATAACTTGTTATATGCAATAATATAAAATATGAGGTTTCAAAATGTGATGGTGCAATTTCATATTTTAAGAAAAGTATACATTTTTGATGTGACCTTCATATTACAAAGTTCTGTAGAAACACCTGTGTATAGACAGTAATTGTAAGCAGAAGGCTTTTTTTCTTTGTTCACTCTACTGGATTCAATCATTTCCCAGTCACGAAACGTTTTGTCAGGCCAGCTTTAAGATAACTCAGAGCATCTTTATTGGCTTCATCGGCTACAGCTTTCCTCCTCATCTCCTCCAGCTCTCGGACCCATTCTTCTTTCCCAGTCTCCCTCACTCTGGGGATAAAGAAGTCGAGATGCTGAAGAGTGAAGGCAGAGTCTGGTTTTAATGCGATCTGAGACAAATGCTTGATGGTCTGGTAAGCTTCAGACAGAAGATTTGACTTTTGGTCCTCAATCTCCTTCAGATCTTTGTCAAGATGATCCATTATAATGGAATATATCTTGGACTGTTCTTGGGCTTTTTCATATTCTTTTTTTATAGAGTCAAACTCCATCATGACGTTCGAAATTCTGATGGCATATTTCTTGTTTTCTTTGACGTGTTTGCTGTGATGACACTTCCCTGTGCACACAGTGCAGTAACCTTTTTTCATGACTTCACATTTGCTGGGATCAGAAACCCACCAGCAGTCAAACTCATGGCAGTTTTCTTGACAGATGGTGCAGGTCGTCGCCTTCCTGTTCTTCCATGACTTGCTCTCAATGGGAACCTTCTGTTTGACTGTCTTTTTTACTTTAATGGTGAAG